CCACGTGTCCCACCTGGAGAACGTCTCGGAGGAGGAGATCAACCGCCTGCTGGGCATGGTGGTGGACGTGGAAAACCTCTTCATGTCTGTGCACAAGGAGGAGGACACGGACACCAAGCAAGTGTATTTCTACCTGTTCAAGGTGCGTCTGGGGCTGGGCACGTCTCACGCCGGGGCTTGGCTTTGCTGGTGAGCTGGAGCTGCTCTCCTGCTGCTTGTCCTCTGCTGCAAGCAGTGGTCTGGCCACAGGCTCTCCTGTCACCCAGCCCGAGACCGGAGTCTCTGACCCGGACTTGGGAGCAGCTGCTTTCCCGGCCTCCCTGGGAGGGAGGTTTACAGGGAGGAAGCGTCCGTGCTCCCAGGGAGACCCTGGCACCTTCCTGGCTGTAAAGTGGTGCAGCCCTGCAGCAGGCTCTGCTGCTTCCCTGCTTGTGCTGTGCTGAGCTGCAGCCACCCCAGTGACCATGTCCGACGGTGTCTCGGCAGCTCCTGCGGAAGTGCATCCTGCAGATGAGCCAGCCGGTGGTCGAGGGGTCCCTGGGGAGCCCCCCCTTCGAGAAACCAAACATTGAGCAGGTGAGGCCTCTGCAGGCTCATGTGTTGCACTGATGACGTGTCCTGTGTTTTGCTGCTCTTCCGTGGTCCCCTCCCTTTTTGGGGGGCAGCACTGAAGGGTCTGCAGCACCCAGTGCCCCTCCACTGCCCTGTCCTCTTTCCAGGGAGTCCTGAACTTCGTCCAGTACAAGTTCAGCCACTTGCCGCCCAAGGAGCGCCAGACCATGTACGAGCTCTCCAAGATGTTCCTGCTCTGCCTCAACTACTGGAAGCTGGAGACGCCGTCGCAGTTCCGGCAGCGATCGCAGAACGACGACGTGGCCACCTACAAGGTCAACTACACGAGGTGAGGGTGGGAGGGGTCTGAGCCAGCCAGCCTGGGGGTCTGCCCGCTCCGGCCACCCCTGCGTGGGCTGACCCCCGACTCCCAGGGTCTGTGCCTCTCCCCAGCTCTCCCAGGTGGTTGGTCCGTGAGGAGAGCGCTTCCAAACAACGTGAGCCATGACCCCCTGGGTGCCTGCTCTCCTCGTCCCTGCTTCCCGCAGGGTATTCCCAGGAGGCACGCGGATGCTCTGGGGTCTCCAGCCCCAGCCCTGTCACTGGAGCATCTTCTTATCTGCTAGGTGGTTGTGCTACTGCCACGTGCCGCAGAGCTGCGACAGCCTTCCCCGCTACGAGACCACCCACGTCTTTGGGCGCAGCCTCCTCAAGTCCATCTTCACGGTCACCCGCCGGCAGCTGCTGGAGAAGTTCCGGGTGGAGAAGGACAAGCTGGTGCCTGAGAAGCGGACACTGATCCTCACCCACTTCCCCAAGTAGGTGCCTGGTGTGGGGCCGCTGGGGAGGCTCTCCTCCCTTGAGGCGCTGCGCACGGAGCGTGGCTGACGTGCTGCTCCCCGCCAGGTTCCTGTCCATGCTGGAGGAGGAGATCTATGGTGAGAACTCTCCCATCTGGGAGGCCGATTTCACCGTGCCGGCCGCGGAAGGGGCTCAGCTGGTGTCTCGCCCAGGTATCTTGGGGTGCGGGCCCCCCTGGCTTGGGGGCTGTGGGATGAACGACCGAGGCATGGGTGAGCCTTGGCCGGTGGAGATGGCTGAGGTGCCGCAGCATGATGAGCTGCTTCATGGTAGTCGTGGGCATCGTTGGTCTCTCCCAGCTGCAGTCAGCGCCGTCGCGGTGCCCACCACTCCGCTCTTCAGCAAGAAGCTCAGCAACAGCAGCTCTGCCGCGAGCATGGACAGCAGCACCCCGGAGCCCCTCCCAGGTAGTGCCAACGTGAGGCCCGTGCCGGGGGAGCCGGGACCCTCCTGGGTCCCTCCTGGTGCTGGACGTGCCGCTCGGCTCCGCTCCCCGCAGGGGAGAAGCGGAAGCTGCCCGAGAGCCTGACGCTGGAAGATGCCAAGCGGATCCGCGTCATGGGAGACATCCCCATGGAGCTGGTGAACGAGGTCATGCTGACCATCACGGACCCCGCTGCCATGCTGGGCCCCGAGGTAGGGGGTGGGGGCCGCTGAGGCGGCACCGGCG